AGCTGAACAGAAGATTTCAAAGGGCAGCTTGAGAAGACAAAGTATTATGATGACATGTGCAAAGACCTGGAGATAGAAAACCAAAAGGGAAGAACACTCTCAGCATTTCTCAAACTGAAAGAACTGAAAAAAAATTCAAGCCTGGAGTTGCAATGCTGAAAGATTCTATGGGGAACATATTAAATGATGCAGAAAGCATAAAAAAAAAAAAAACAATGGAAGGAGTACACAGAGTCATTATACCAAAAAGGATTGTTAGATGTTCAGCCATTTCAGGAGGTAACATATTATCAGGAAACCATGGTACTGAAGGAAGAAGTCCAAGCTGCGCTGAAGGCATTGGCGACAAACAAGGCTCTGGGAATGACGGAATATCAGTTGAAATGTTTCAACAAACAGATGCAGCACTGGAAGTGCTCACTCATCTGTACCAAGAAATTTGGAAGACAGCTACCTGGCCAACCAACTGGAAGAGAGCCATGTTTATACCTATTCCCAAGAAAGTGATCCAACCGAATGTGGACATTATCGATCAATATCATTAATATCACATGCAAGCAAAATTTTGCTGAAGATCATTCAAAAGCTGCTGCAGCAGTATATCAACAGGGAACTGCCAGAAATTCAAGCCAGATTTAGAAGAGCATATGGAACCAGGGATATCATTGCTGATGTCAGATGGATCCTGAATGAAAGCAGAGAATACCACAAAGATGTTTACCTGTGTTTTATTGACTATGCAAAGGCATTCGACTGTGTGGATCATAATGAATTATGGATAACATTGTGAAGAATGGGAATTCCGGAACACTTAATTGTGCTCATGCGGAATCTGTACATGAATCAAGAGGGAGTGGTTCGAACAGAACAAGGGGATACTGCATGGTTTAAAGTCAGGAAACGTATGCGTCAGGATTGTATCCTTCCACCATACTTACTCAATCTGTATGCTAAGCAAAGAATCCAAGAAGCAGGACTATATGAAGAAAAACGGGGCATGAGGATTGGTGGAAGACTCATTAACAACCTGCGTTATGCAGATGACACAACCTTTCTTGCTGAAAGTGAAGAGGACTTGAAG